ACCAGTTTTCCACTGCATATCTACTTCTGTTAGAGTGTTTTTATTTGCTATTTGCGATTGTCTGTCTTGAAGCAGGATAGATTTTAATTAAAGCAGACAAATTTGTGGCAGTGGGGCTGAAGCACAAGGTATTGAAAGATACTGAAGGATAATCATATTTTGAGTAGCATAAATCTCCAGCAAAATAGTATCTAAATAAAGCCTGCATGCTACAAGTTACAGGTGAGGAGAACGTGCCAGGATTCTAGATCTGTGTTCATACAGTTTAATGGAGTTACTGAAAGAAAGGCTTTTCTTAAGCACATCCTAAGTCGCACCTACATTAACCAGACTTCATTCATTCCAGGCAACTTCCATATGAGCCAGTATTAGCTGGAAAAAAGCTGTGTTCTGACTGACATGCCTTACCAAGAGTTGTTACTTTGCTGCTGTTCCTTGTGATGGCATCACTTGCTACCCTCCCAGTCAAGGAGCGTGTTCTGTAAACCAAGTAATGGACATATAGTTACAAGAGTTTTAACAAAACATGATTTTGGTAGAGCTGTAAAGTCCAAAAGCCTGAGAGGAATTAACAAAATCCTCCCAGTGAAGATTGTTTCAAGTGTTTAGTTCCAACATCTGTTTTGCTTCCCAGCTCTCTGCTCTTCAAAAGTGTTTGTTACTGGCAAATTAGGCTTCTGTCTTTTCTAAAAACCTCAGAGAAATATAAATACAATGAGCAATTGCAAACTAAATAGTAAGCAATGGAAGGTAGAAATTATTTGTCTCAGTAACTTAAACACAAAAGCATGAGAATCGTGGGCACCACTCACAGCCACTCCCAGGAGTTACAGCTGCAGCAGCACGCATAGGCAGGTGTGGTTCCTCCAGACATAAAAAGGGAAATGGAGCTGTGATGATCGAAGTGGCCAACAGTGACCCAAATGGGGTGGAGCAATCAAGTGCTTTATTTTATAATAGGGCGATACAGATCTCAAGGAAGTGAAAACCAAGAAAATCTGGAATAATCAGTGCCCTGAAGGAAGAAATACTAAGGCAGTGGGAAATGCATCAGGGCAGAGAATTCCCTGCTTTTTTCTTTCTCCTGGTTCAAACCAGGTCTCTTTCCCTTCCCTGCCTCCTTCTCTTTCTCTAGAAAGACTGAAATCAAAGTGGGATTAATCCATGCCTTAGGTCCCTAACACAGCATTAATTGCAGGTCTGTTTGCGGAATGCCTGCGCATACTGAATCCTTTTGATTCAAATGCAGAAGAGATGTCTCTGGTGTACAAGTTCTAGAGATTCTGACAAAACTCTTCAGTTACTCTGTTCTCCAAATCCTCCGTTTGTATACATTTACAGTTTGAGAAGTAAAAGAATAGCTTTTCCTCCTATTTTTACTGCAGTGAGAGCAAAAAGAACTAGGTGAGTAAACTCTTGTCACACTGGTTTTGCAAAGGTGGAGTTATTTAGACCGGCATTTTTAAGCAATGGGCACTGCCACCACACAAATAGGAGAGATGATTAGAAGAGATGCAGTGGTAACAGTCACTACATATATGGCACATAAAGGAGAGAAAAGTTGTATAGAGCAAGACTGGTATGTCTGGCTGTGTTCAAACAAATCACCTTTTCATACAGTAACATGCAAAGGCAGGTGACAGCACTCAAACAAGGTGTTGGGATATAGACCAGGAAACAAATGACTCTCAAAAACTGTGGGGTCATCGTGAATGAGCAGCTAATATGAGCTCTGCACTTTAGAAGATGACTGAAACAGTGTATTGGAAGAGAAGGGGAACACAGGGAAAGTAGTATCTTGCTATGCAATATTACTGAAAACTTTCTAAGCTTTCTAAAACATCACATCTAATTCTACTATTCATATCCAATGCAAAGGAGTTGCAAAACTGGAAAACATGATAAAAGACTCATGTAAATTATTAGAGAGGAGAGAGAATGTCTCCCAGTGACCAAACCAGAGAGCTCTCACAGATGAAAACTGGGTTTCAAAGGTTGTCATGTGGGTGGTTCCCCAGCCAGGCAAAATGAGACTCATTTAGCAGAGAAAGACCTACCGAGAACCAGTGAGCACAAGGCTGACGTGAAAATAGAGACTAGTTGCCAGTGTTTCGGAGTGGCAGCAGCACAGCGCTGTTGTCATGAACAGCAGTGTGCGGTGTGAAGGTCGGGTGCTACGTCTGCAAATCAGGAAACTCAGAATGAAAACTTTATGGTCACCATAAATGCACCTTTCGTGTTTGCAGTTCTTACGTTACATGATCGCATACCAAGGTGTGACTACCTCGGTAAATATTTAGATTGCCAGTGCTTTTATAACTGGGGTCTTAAAAGAGCAGAAGTAATTATAACACGTGGCTTTGGGAGGCTGACGGGTCAGGACAATAGGTGGGAGTCTGCAAGCCCTTAACTTGCCAACTGGGCTTGAGTGCTCCAGGCACCACATCTCAGACAATCTTCTGTTACAGAACCCCACATGCATGTGCACCTACAGGAGCTGCCACAAATTCTTCTCCTTTTACTGGTCTGATTAGTTCCTAAGGTTGCTTTTAATTCATGTTTTCTGAGATCATGCATTGCACATGGGTGAGTCTCTTACCAGTGCTCCTGCACTGACCAATCTCGCTGTCCATTAAGGCATTTCCCTGGGCCAACATAAAGCTGACCTCTCTTCATTGGCTCCTTCCAGGTGGTTGCCCTCACTTTCTGGAACTGTCCCCATGTGTGCTGGAGCACAAAGCCTCGGGAGATCGATGGCCATTCATCTCCTGTGCTTGTAATTTGTGAGCTGGCTATGGAATGCGCAGAGGGAAAGCAAAGCAGGGGCAGGCTGACACCTCTTTCCCCAGCATCCAGGCAAATGACAGGCTAGCACAAGTAGAACTGTCTTACCTTTGAGGTAGAGTTGCTGCAATAAAACACTTCTGAAATGCAGCTGCCCTCCACGTATTTAAGGAATATGCCTGTCTGGAGCTCCTTACAGGACTGCTCCCCACTGGCTCCCTGTTTGCGGTGATAAGGTAGTTCCTAAGGAATCTGTTTTGCTTTCTGCAGAAATGTTATATTTTGCCTCACCAGAACATTTGTATAGGCTTCCTACTGCAACAATCTTAGTAGGGTATTGGTCAGTTGGAAGATCACAGTCATTGTTCAGCTATGATGATAACCAGGGAGGGGGTAAAGGCACAGCAACCCTTGTAGAATTGTCAGTAATGATTCTGAAGTTCTTCTTCCAGCCAAGGTCATAGCCATGATCAGCTAATGAGCAACCAGTGAGTCACATGTTTCTCCTAAAGTAGGACTTTAATAGTGCCCTGTGATTTGTGCAGGGAGTTGCTTTGTAAAGCTTTAAAACCCCCATGACATGATACCAGCTAAAGGTCTCTATTGATCTCTTGGCTTTTCCTTCAATAAAAAATTACAGGAATTTGATTTTCTTGTGACTTCGAATGGTTGATAAGAACAAACTGCTCAGGCAGTGCCAATGAAGTGAAAAAAGCCCCGTGTTGTAACACTGCTCTCGCAGTGCAGAAAGGCTGCCGAGGCGGAGTGAAACCCAAGTGTAACATGTTGGTAACATCCTCCCATCAGGTGGTCTTTTCCACCAGCTCTAACTTGTCAGCGGGTCTGAGGGAAATGTCTTTGTTAAGCCGTGAATGACCTACTTTGGGTATCTGGGAATAACTAGAAGCCGATCCAAGCCACAAGAGTGCGTCTAATTTTAGCAGCCCTTCATTTTGTGCACGCGAGCTTTTGTGTTCTGCATCTACAGGAAGAGAACATCAGTTTCTTGCTGAGCCAAAGACAAATTCTTTTGGTTTTTAAATCAGCCCCTTGCTGGGTCACAATCACAGTGAAATCATCCCGCTTGAAACTGTCGAGTCTGTAATTGCCATCTCAAGTTTGCATCAAAACCTAATACTGAGCCCATTCCAAAGGATCTATGGTTCCTGACCTCTGGAGAAAACATCTAAACAACCCATGCTGGAGAGAATCTGGGCAGCTGTGTGTTGTGTGTTCCCATTTCCCCCTTGGGTTTAACTGACCAATAGTAAAAGGGTCAACTTCATAGGAAGCTTCTGTGAGTTTTCCAGCTAAGTTACAAGGGCAATCCAGGAAAAGTTAAGGATGAAAGAAGAGTTGTTAGTGTGTCAGCGGGGAGTCTGAGGACACTGCTGGTGGCACTGGTTGGTGGGCAAAAAATCTCTGGCATAGTCTGGATAGAAGAAGCACTAAACAAATATTTGACCATCAATAGGGATACTAGTGCTGAGTTTGGAAGGAAGCGTTTGGAAAGAAGCAAATCCAGACATGGGTGAAGCACAGGCTTTCTAGCTTCCAGTACCTAAATTGGACACTGAACACTGCCTCTCTTGCTAGGAGGAACAACATGTAATGTCTCATAATTTAAGTCTGCTGCAGTGTCAGACTAAAATGTGTTTAAATTTCACCCACACTGCACAGAAAAAATACAAACAGAACTGACTTGGCATTAATGGCAGTATCACAACAAAATGATTATCAAGTCCTCTGGAGCCAGGGAACCTCCCAGTTGATGGAACTGACCACAAAAGCAAGCAGCATCCGCTGACAGCTATGAATGGGGTGAACGTAGTTTGGGATTGAGTATGTGATAATGTGTGGTGTTTCCCTGTGGAGCCTGCTGAGCTTGGCAGTGCATGCCTCTCTTCAGAGACAAGCCCTAGGCTGCACAGTCCCAGCCATAGCCAGACTCAGCAGGACGAAGAGAGTGATAACCACTCTAACAGCAAAAGTTGAGCTAAGCTCTTTGTTGTGCTGTGACAAGAGCACCCCTGCCCCACGGTTGTTAGGAGCCTGCTGTGGCTGTTCATCCCACCACTGCTGGCCCCTCCATCTGCAGAACAACAGGACCCCCAAACCCCCGGCCTGGAAGCTGACTTCCTCGTTCCCAGGGCATGCACAGTGAAGGGGTTTTAACCCCTTCAAAAGCCCATCCTGCTTTTGGGGTTTTGTTATTTCAACAGCTGTAGAGTTTATCCATGCGGATGTCCAGTGAGCTGTTACGGGATTAGCCCCAACAGTGGGGCAACGACTGAGATGCAGTTATTGTGCACTCTGAAAACACGTCCTCATCTTTTAACTGTCTGGCTTTTCAATGTCATTTGACATACTGTTGACAGCGTATGTGTGATCCATGTCTGAAGAGGCATAGTCAAAATAAACACAGGCAAAATGCTGGTCTGTGAAGCACTTTGTGATGCGAGTTGTGTTGAATTTGGTCGTTTGTCTGATTTCTGAATTTCCCAGGTTTCAAAGGACACCATAAATACACACCATTAGCAAAGGTGTTTATGTAATATTTTCCTCACACTCAAGATGTGGTTTTTAGAGGTCCATACTTTGGTTCAGGGCTGGATGCGGAAGCTGCTGATCCTCTGAGGAGAAGTGGTGATGAAGAATGAGGACACAACAACTGTCATCCCCAGTTCACCGGCCACAGGCGAGCAACCTGCATGCAGGGAGGCTGCTGTGTTTCTGGGGAGAAGTAACCTTTGTCTCACAACAAGAAGTGAGCAAGTACTTGTACCCGAGCCTCCTAGCTGTTTACGGGCTTTGTCTGCTGCCTATTTGACAGCATTTGTTGGGCAATGTATCTTGCACAGCATCTTGATTTCAGGTTGTTTTTTAACGGGGCAAATGGAAGGAAAAATAACTTGAAACAAACATTTCCTATTCTGTGGTATTTAACAGTGAAATTGTAAACCACAGAAGGGACCAGGCCTGATTTAAAGGTCTTTGAAGTCAGCAGAACTGTTTCCACTGATTTCAATGTGCTTTGGGTCAAGGCCACAGTAGGAAGAAGACAAACGTTTTCTGCCCCCCAAAAAGTATTAACCATTGGCATTCAATGAGCAATAAAGTCTGATGTGTAAAATGGGTTCCTTTAAATAAGGCAGTCAGAAACTTAATTTCCATCTGCTTCCTAATGACTTGTCACTAATACACCCAAAAGGAACACATTTATAGAAGTCATAATCATATACTGAGAAGAAAAACACTACCGTAGTTTGCTTCTTCTCTTGCTTTCGTTCCATTTTCTGTGCATTGTATTTTTCACTAACATAATGGTGCTTATGCTGCTGGTTATGCTATCACAGCCTAGGCACTGTAGATTTGCAGTTGAATTGAACTTCACTGCACTGATGGTGGTTGACAAATACAACAAAATCATTATTTTTTCTATACAATTTAATCTTTAAAACATCATAATGGTGCCTGGGTTTTTTTTGTGACTGAGAAGAAATATGTCAAAGATACAGAATTTGGGGGGCAAAGAAGTGTTGCTCTAGGAGTAGTGAAGGGGGTGCCACTTCTATCTCACAGTTGGCCAGATAGGCTGCACGCAGCAGCTTCACGTGTAAAATCAGCAATAGGTTTGCCTGCAAATTTTGTCTCACACAGTTATTAAATCCAAGGAAAGGAACCTATCTGCCAGATGCCTACTGCCCAAGTAGACCCATCACCATGTCAACAGGCTATGCTCAAGTCTAACACATGACAGCAAGCCCATCGGGATCTATACATGTCAGGGCTTTTTGGCACACAACAGCAAAGCCTGAGTAGCTGAGTTTGGCTGTGCAATAAACACCATCTAGCTGTGACCAGTCAGAGAGGAGATCCCAGCCTGGTGGTGAGCTGCAGAAGAAGGTAAGACTGCGTGGCCACAGGTGGGCTCTGTTGTCTGCACATGAAAGCAGTGAATCGGTGTCAGCTGGAAGATGCAGCAAGAGAGGCAGGGAGCTTGGCTTAAAGTTGAGGCAGAAAACAGAAGGATATGGACTAATACCATTTTAAAGCCCTCTTTGGTGGTGGCAATGACCGGCCATGGTGTGTGTGAGAGGTATGAAGAATTTTTTCGATGAGGACATCCCATTTCAGGGTACTTCCATTAAATCAACTTCCTCAACTTTCAACATCAACTCTGGGTATCTTTTCACTGCAGAAGCCAGTGCATCACTGGAGTTTAACATTACTAATCTAGGTTTTGAAGAGGAGAAACCAGAGCAGAGTTAAGAACTCTTAAAGGGTTTGTAAGAATCATTGTTTACATTCATGGGGAAACCACCGAGCAAGGCAAACATAACATAATCTAAAAAAATGTGTTGTTTTTGTTCTTTTTAAAAAGTATCTGAGGTAGAAAGCATGGTACTGTTTGTACTCATGTGCGGGTACTGCCAGCCACAGTCCAAGAAGACACCAGTTCAACTTGTGCTCGCTCCCCAGAAAACCTCCTCCTTCTCCCCTGTATTTCTTCCCACCGCAGAGCTGCACTAATCTGCGTTGCATAAATACAGGAGGAAGAGTCTCAACAAAGAGGAACGGGTTATGAAATGATTTTATTTTCTTTCAGATGAGAAATCTGTGTCCTTCAGGACACTGCGGGGGTCTCAGGCTGGAAAATCTTGTCATCACAAAGGCTGATTTCCTGAACGGGTGTCTTACAGGAAACTGGATTTTCCACGGGAGTTATCCCTGTACTTTGGGGACTGTTTTAGAGCAATTAGAAAAAATGGCATATGGGAAAGCTTTCATATTTTTATAATACGTTAATGATTAACTGACTTCCTACTTCTTTGTTGACTTAGTGGGAGAGTGACAAGGAACTGTGAGGTACCTATTTGGTAGCGTAACAAGACAGACAATTTGCAGGCGCGTTTCTTTCCACCTCCCTTCTGGAACTCGCTTCATGCAGCTGACACTGCTTCAAAGCCTCAGGCAACTCGCAGACCCACAGAAGTAAGTCTCCTTTTTTTTTCAATGCGTCTTATTTTATGAAGTGCTGATAGAGAACAGATGGGGAGAGACTGAAATATTTATTTGTTTCCTATAAAGAATGTCTGCCCAACTGGGAACTGAAGAATTAAGTTTTGAGGCATTAAATCATAAGGATATTGCTAAGAAGAGACCTTCTTAATTACTGTGCTGTTGGGGGTTTTTTAGACTCCCTTTCTGCTGCGAAACTTAGATTGAACAAAGGGTTTGGTTACTAAACCATGTCCAGTATAGACCAATAAAGCTGCATCTAGGCTGTACAAGTTTGCAAAAGCAGGATTTGAATGTTAATATCAAAATGCATGCAGTGCCTGGCAACATCCAATGCAAAAATATTTGCTTAAAACGTGAAAAAAAAAGAAATAAATTCCTGCTTACACAGGCTGGGAAAACAAATTTGCATGTGTTTTACATAGGAAGAATTTATCAGGAACTTTCTCTTCAAGGTATTTACAAGTTGCAGTGCAATTCCTAAAGCAAAAGCGTCGGCCAGAAGGCAGGCAGGCTGGAGGCAGAGAGACTCAACTTCGCTCTTCTGCTGTTACATTTTGTAGCATATTTTGGTGTAGCTGTGCTGTCACTTACAAAGAAACAAGTATTGTCTCCCATCCTTTTGGAAAGCTGTTCGTCCCTTCAGCCACCCACCCAGTGTCTATGAAGAAAATCTCATCATCAGGTTGCAGTGTGCAGGTTGTGTGCTCTCCAATTCCCCCTTCTGTGGGCAGTTCCTTACACGCAGTCACACAGTCAATGCTTCTTCTTCTTCCCTGGGTGTCTGTGAAGCACATTTGGGCTGATGCTCTGGGTGCTTTGGGTGTTCTTCATTTCTCCCACAGGCACCAGGCAGCATTAGGTCCTCTTCTTTTGGCTATGAGGTGACTCCTGCAGGGGGACATCTCATGAGGGTGTGTATTCAGTGCTTTCATCTTCCCACTCATGTGAGCTCCCTGGGACCTGGATGTGGTTGCCCTAGTCACACTCCTGACCCCTTAGTGCTCTTTTCTCTGTACCAGACACCAAGGTAGGTGAGGTTTGGGGCTTCCCTCTCCTTTCTGAAGCTCAATCCATCATCTGAAGTGATGCATTTAAGGAGAAGTCTTGCCAGTGATTGCGTGGTTGGGGACACTCTCTTTTGCTCCTCACAAGATGGACATCAGCCCCTGGCACAGGCCCTCACCCCAGCAGGGGTTCTGAGACCCAGTAACCCGAAAAGCCCAATTATATTTAGGTGCATTCATTAAGAAAGCATGCTAGCTGTTTTCCCTGCGTTTACCTGTAGCTTTTACAAATCTTTCTTTCTAACACAGGTTGAGTCTTAGAAAGCAGATCTGAAACCCAGCTGGTGTGTACAGGCTGATGAATGGAATTAAAAGAGCTTTTCAGTGGACCCAGTATTAATTCCAGAAGTGAAATGTGTTTGGTGCCATTTAGGTTTCTCTGCTCTGAGAAGTGATATCACAGCCCCAGCCTTTTGTCACCAGCAATTACTTGTAGGAAAAGAAGTGCTGACAAAATTTCAAGCACAGCTCCATTTCTGTTTGCTGCTGAGAACATGAGGCCACAAAGAACAGACTGTTATCTCTCAGACCACAGCATTTCACTTTAGTCTTTTTAAAGGTAAGCCTCATGCACAGATGACCCCAAAAACCCTCTGTGAAACACCTGGCATTTGAGAGAGCAGCTTGCTCTGTTTTTTCTCCTAGAAGCAAGCTTGCAGCTGTAGGAAAGTCAGCACAGCTCCTGGGCATCCTCATCTGTTTCTTGTAGCTAAGAGGGGGAAAGTCCTGTTTCATTCTGCCCCTGAAAAATACAGGCAATGGCTCAACATGTTTTCCATAAACAGACTGCTCACTGTGCAGTGCTTGATTTAAATAAAAATAAGACGTAAATACAAAAGGATCCTTGAAGTTTCTGTAAGTGGACGAATTCACTAGCATGTGTCATCTTTTACTATTAGTTTCTGTCTTCTCTCTCAACTTTCTATTGCATGATAGCAAGTTTACAGTTTGCTTTTACTCAGGTAGGATATTGACTTAAAAAATACATTCATGGAGGAAACGGATGATGTGTTAAGAGAGAAAAAGATAGCAAGGGACTATCAGGTGAGAACCCTGTAGAAGTAGCTCTTCCTCTTTTAGGTATCTGGACTTTCCAAAAGGCTGGCCCCTGCTGGAATGCTTGTGGATTAGACTGAAATTAAATGTAAATTATTAAATCACGGGACACTGAGATGGAACTGTAGCCACTACTTAACACACTCCTCTTGCTTCTTTGGGTGAAAAGTGTTTCCAGTTCATGCTTTTTTGGTCCACTGGCATACAGACCAATCACACTGGCCTAGCTTGTTCCTCCTGGCAAGTTTGCCTTTGTAGGCTCCCTCTATCCCGTGACATAGCTGGCATGCAAACATTGGATGCTGAAATCTGAGTGAGCTTCCAAGTCAAGACACACATGCCAGCAATACCAACTAATTATCCAGAAGACCTTCTGTAGCTGACTGAATTCATGCTGAGTTCATTTGCCTTAGGAAATTTCATAGAGTGATCATGTTACATCACTGTATTATTCAAAGCATATAGATAATCTTACTATACTAATTAAATTAGTTAAAAAGACTTACATGATTACTAAAGCATGAAAACAGCCAATAGATTATGCCAGTGCACAGACAGCTGTATGATCCGGGCTTTGGGCTGTATTTTATCCAGTATAGCTTGAAACATGCAGGGACTGAACTGCCACATTTTTCTCTCAGAAGGCTGGAAAGGGCATTTCCCCAGGGACCAAAAGGCTTTATTAACGAAATTTTTTCTTTGGTTTTTTTTTTTTTTTTATGTGAATGACAAGCTAGTGATGGATCCAGTTCTTCCTTTCCAAAGGGGAAGCCTCTGTCTTCGAAACCTACAGGAAGGGGCCTGCTGGTGTTGGAGCAGAGTTCAGCACCTGCATCAAGTCCCATGGATGGAGGCTTGGGCAGCATTTCCCCTTTCTTTCTCTTCCTTTTTCTTTCCCTTCCCTTCCCTTCCCTTCCCTCTCACAGCGAGCGAGCCGCCGGGAAGGCTGAAATCCTGGAGGGAGACGCCCTCTGCAGCTCATTCCTGGTTTTACTTCGCATCTGCCAGTGAAACGCCTTTTTTCCATTTTTTTCTTTTTTTTTTTTTTTTTTCCTTTGGGAATGTTTGCACAGTGGCCCTGAAAAACGAACGTATCTCTTTGCATTTAGGGGGGACGAGCTTCCCTGGTGCTCTTTGCCAGCTGGCACCCGGTCACAATGACCATGTGGGCTGGCGCTCCGGCTGGACCACTGCAGTGGGATGCCCAAGGTGTCATGGATGCTGCAGCCTCCACCAGTGCTCAGGCTTAGGGTTTATGTCAGAAGCTTGAAACTAAATATGTTCTTATCCAAATATGCTCTTATCGTTTGCTTTTGGCAAGCAACACATATCTGGTCTCATTTGATATAAAACCCGTAGTGTGTTTATTAATATTCATAATGATAGAGACTGGAATGAGTACTCCATCTTTGTTTTAATTATGACATATTTTCATATGATAAGCAAATTCCTGCAACTATTTTACCTTGATATTTTGTTCCTTATGTTCTTGCTGAATCTTAACACCAAGAGGTCCCAAGTACAGGCTTCTGACTTCCCAAACGAGGCAGGTATGGGTATTGTAATTCAACTTCATCATCATTCTCAAAAGTATTTCTTTTTCACCTTGATTTTGCTCTAAGTCAGTGATACCAGGTTAGATCAAGTAAGTTCCAGGGGGCAGGGTATGGAGAAATGAGCCAAAATCAATAATTTCCTACATACGCAATGCTTTGGGTCTAGGTATTTGGTACCTCCTCTAAAGCCCATGTTTTTTTGCTGGTTATTCGCCAGTGTAAGTCTTTGTGTAAGTCTTGAATTCTTCCATTCTGTGTGTTTGCTGCTTCTGTGGATTTTGTGAATCTCACAGGGAAAAAGAATTTTCCTATTTTTTACTTTTATAATTCAGTTCTGGACACCCTGCTAAGTAGCTTAGCACATGATGCTTTGACAGAGGGCTCCGTAATCATGGATACAACGTCATTTAATTCTGTGAGCAGACAGGTGAGTAAACTCAATGTTTGAAGATGTATACTGATACCATTCTCTGAGCAGCTCTCAATGACACAGATTTGCCTGCTTGCCTATCTTGTATGACCTTGATAGCAGCAAATTGTTAAAATGACTACTTACGATGTATACAAAAAGTGTTACAGAAATATGGGCTCTGCACAAAATGGTACTTTAACATGGTTGAGGATTGGCCTCTTTGTGCACAACTGATTCAAACAGAAGCAGAAGGAGACAGTACAGGCCTCCTTTGGTCACTCTCTTTCCTTTCTGTCATCTTCCCATCACTAGACATGTACAAATACAATGCTGTTTTGAGGTGGAACAGAAAGAAAACCATTTTAGTGCCTTATGCAGCTACTAATGTGCTGTGTGGCTGGTTAAGTTAATTAGATAGGGGGAGTTATAATCACTTTGTAAATAATGTAGCAGATCGAGAAAGCATTTATAAATAGGTTTCGGTTTAAGTAGATAAAACACAGAAGGCTATTCTGGAGCAATTTTCTTCATGCAGGGAGGGATTAAATGTACATTTGCAATAATGGAGATTAATATGTCCCACAGGAAATCAGTCCTATCGGAGATACATAGATGAAGTGGGAGGCCAAAATGATAAAATTGCAGACATTGCCCTGCTTGGCTGGCATTAAAAAACACCCCATCCTATCTTCTTATCATTGGCATCAGCTCCAGGACTGAAGTAAGTATACAGTGGGCACTGGTATGAGATGATGGACAGTGTTTGCTTAAGGCTATATTATTATGAAGATATTATTTTATTTAAGATTTCCATAGATGGATATTTGCAACTAGATTGTCTCACCAACTGAATCTGTTAGCTTAAGTAAGTAAAAAATTTGCTGCTTTAATATCAACACGTAGTTGCAGATCTACCTTCTTACTAGAGCGAGCATTATTTCTCCAGTCTTCAATTCAGTGGGACCAGGAGTTCAAGTATTTCAGATGACTCACAAAATATAAAGATCCCTAGAACCTTTCAGATGTACATAATTAGTTCAAGGCCACATCTCCTCTGATCACAGATCATTCCTGCAATTGTTCAGAAGGTTGTATGAAAGACATGGGAGATCAACAGATTATGTTTTAAAAGTAGAATAAACACTTAATTTGAACTTGGAATGTACAAAAAAAAAACCCAAACAAACGGTCTAAAACCTTTTACTAAGCTAAATGACTAAAATCTTTTCCATGGCAGTGCTAGGATGATTTGAACTGGAGAAAATGGGCAGGTTATGAATGTGATTTGCAAAAGGGAAACGCTAAAGAATCGTGGTTAAAGTTTGAGGGTGAGAAAGCAATGGCAGCATATCCAGGCTCCAGCCCCTGCATAGAGCATTTCTGATTAATTCAAGTGTTCCTGCTAACAAAGTCGTGGTTAAATAATCTAAAAATGATCAAAGTATTAGATTCTGTGGCCTGGATTTGCTCATGTCTCTGAACTACAGTGTTTTGTGTGCGAGCCTGGTCCCAGCAGCTCTCAGACATGGCAGCACAAAGCAAAAGTCTGTTCAGGTCGGGCTGAAAACACAAACTGCACCGCAAACACGACTGCAAGGAGAGAGAAGCATGAAGCATGGCTTCTGCAGCTGCTCTGTGAGATCTCCTGCAACAGCCAGGATCCTGAGGATTTTGTCAGATTTAGTTTCTACCAGCCAGTAAGCTTATTAATGAGGCTCTTTGAACATAGCGGTTAATTACCAAGGAAGAAAATAGCTTGGAAAAAGATGTGAATTTTCCTGTTGTGAATGTAGAAAGGAGATTGTAATGGGAGCTAACCAGAGACTCATTCTTCTCCTTGTGATACAATGATATATTCAGAATAAAACGTAGATGTTACTTGTCTATGACACTAAACTTCAACAGTTCATTACAGTTGGGGAAAGATGAGTACTGTCCTCCCTCTGTACACGTATTCACTCCAGCTTTTACTTTTTCACTATCAGGTTCACCTATTCACCCAAATAATAAGTGCCTTTGTAATCTTACACTGTTTCTTTCCAGTGCCTCTCTCACTTCACATGGCAATTGTGCCTGCAACAGAGCAGAAGACCTCCAAAAGATGAACTCCCTGGTCAGCAGCTCACACCTCCAGCTGGCTGCCTTTGCTCTTGGTACTGTAGGCTGGATCCTGTGCACAGTTTCAATGGGAACTGTGGAATGGAGAGTGTGGCATGTGGACAACACCACCATCATCTCCTCTGGTGTTGCATGGGTGGGGATTTGGAAAGTCTGCTTCATCAGTTACCTGCAGGTCTCACCTGGCTATAAAGAACAGTTCTGCCATAAATTCAGTGGTTATGACTCCTCCATCCCAGATGAAATCTATGCCGCTCAGGGTCTCCTGTTGATCGCCATGTTCACAGGCTTGCTGGGACTGACTGCCACAGTCTTTGCTCTGAGGAATGTTTATATGGGAATCACTCACAAAACTCTCATTACCCGTTTCTTCCTGGTGGGTGGCTGCTTCTACATATTTTCTGGTCTGTGTGTCCTGATTCCTGTGAGCTGGAATTTCTACTCTGTAGCACATAACCAGAGCATTGCTTTTCCTCCATCTTACTACATGCCCTCAAGCCCAGCAGCACAGGAAGTCGGTGCTGCCATTCCGGTCGGGATTGTAGCTGTCATCCTCCTGCTGCTAAGTGGGATTTTTTCTCTCTTGTACAGATTTCCGGTGACCACAAATGCTATCACAAAATGCTGACAGGATAAATCCCCCCAAGCTGTTTCAGAACAAGAGCATAGTCAAGAGATAAGGACGGCAGCACAAGCAGCTTTATAATCAAGGCACTGCAGAACTTTACTTTAGTCTATAGGAGCCACACTATTTAGTACATGAACCAGCTGAACTACTATCTTAGTTGTCACATATGACCGGAGGCTCATCTTTGAGATGAGTGCTGATGAACAACACCTGCAGTTAAGTTTTACAAGTTGTCCTCTTTTGTATACACAAACGTCACTGATTAATTTGTATTTTGTGTAAGGTATTTATCGTGCTCAAAGAGCTGACTCTGAACTAACTGTCCTGTTGGAAAGATGTGAAATAATACGTTAAATGTGAACTTGTTTCCTTGTTGGTACTAGGCTATTTTGTCCATTATTTAATTACCTTTGTAGCTAAGCATCTTTTGTGACACATCAAGACTTTTAATACCAATAATATGAGTGTCATCATGGTTGTGTCAGAGTCTTCACTGAATTGTCTTATGAAGGTGTTGCCAGTTTCTCTTCTTCCTCGAGGGCGCATAAAGAGACAAGTCTTTAATGCTTCTATTTTTCTTTCAAGCTATTTACATTTTATGTTGCAACATGTTTGCCTGTGGGCAAGGTGTGCTTAGTTCCTCGCTTAGCCAGAGCCAAAAAGTCTGCAACTGTTTGCTTCTTCATCAGACACTTCACCAAATCCAAAGGTATTGCAAAAGATGGAAACAGCCTCTACCAGTTATTACAAAACTGCCAGCAAAATCTGTGCTCTCAGTAACCAGGAATATTCAGTACAACTTTCAGGGTATGATTCATCTGATGGAGACATCTATACCTAAACTGGTCACTTCAGGCTCGGTTTATCACCAATTTAAAGACAAAGACAGTCTCTTTTCCAAAATAGATGCCAGAATGGCTGGGAGTTGACATGCTCCCTAAAAACCTGTTTTTCTTAACCTACTGTAATGGCTGTAAACAACTACAGTTGCTAACTCTGGTGTACACAAGCAAACTTCACCTAAGCTAGACAAAGCTAGGTGAAATTAATCTGTCACTTAAGCGGAATTTCATATGCCAGTGCCATTAAAAAATAACAAAAAAGGAGAAATGTCACAAATGCTGCAATCAGGGCAGTTTAAAAAAAAAAAAAAAGAGGTTGGGAGGAATGACTAAACACTGCTGAAAAACCGGTGATCTCTTGAAAACAGATTCCTCAAGAAGTTATGACACTTTGAAAGAAATGCTGCAGGAATCTGAATAATTTTAGTTTTACTCTTTTCATTGTCCTCTGTTTTCTAAAATACTAACGGGTTCAGAGGAAGAAGAAAAGAAAATGTAACAAAAATGAAAGAATTCTGTACATTGCAAGAAAAGGTAAAATGCCAGCAAACAAGGTCTGACTGCTTGTGGCTGCTACTACCTCATCTTGTCCTAGAAGTCTAAATTTCCTTTACATCTTTCACACTGTCTTGACTTTGCTGTACTGTCTTGTTTATACAGAATCTCTACAGCACCTTCATTTCCTCTCCCGTCTTCCAGTCTCTTCTGAAACAGCAGCTTATCTCATCACTGGTAATTTTTTCATCTGCTGTAAGGATTCATCCTTTCACTGTTTACAATGCTCTAAAGCACTTTCAAGTGGTGTTTCAATGAAGGCAAGACATTTAATAGCTTGTTTATTATATACCGTTTCTAGTTTGAGTTCTACTATACATCCTTTACAATGTTGGTAGGTTTCAGTTTTAAATGTGCAAGTCAATAGAACTGTTATCTCTTCCCACAGGACCCACAATAATATTAGATTTTATCTTGCTGTAGTTGTAAGGGGGGGGGGGGGGGGGAAGATGCATCCATGTGTTTATGTCAGCATTTCCCCACACTAATAAACCACCAATATTCCCTGGCAAGGAATTTGAACTTTAACAGAAAATAACTATCTACAGATTTTTGTGTTCATATATGCACAGAAAAGCCAATACCCCCAACTGGGTTTGTTAGCTATCTTCACTAAATTATTAGGTTCAATTTGCATTTATTCTTCCTGGCTTAAAAGAAAAGGGAACAAATGACATCAGACACATGCTAAGTTTCTGCACTGGTGCCACAGCAGTTTCCACCAGGGATTATGTTCATCCGTGCTGATGTGCGGCTATGAAACACTGGTGGTGTGTCAAACATAGGCTAGATGGGGAGGAAATTCCCCAGCTAAACAGTGGAATAGCTTACCTAAGGAGATGCGTGGGTTTTTAAAAGAACATTTTGTCAAAATGAATTTAGGCATAGTGCCATGAAGACTGTAGGTATGAGTGAGCCTGCCACAGGACAGGTGGGTGATCTAGATGGTTCTTTTGGCATCCTTTCTCACTGTACTCCTAGGTCTCCAATACAGCAGCCTATTGGTAGTCACATACTCCACTATATCAACATTATATGTTGGTACTTGATAAAACATGGTCTATGGTCAAATACCAGGCTATCTTAAAACTCCCAGGCCTTCCCTGAAGAAAAGATAAGAGGAAAAAAAATCTTAGCTCAAAACAAGGGAGAGGCAAAGCTTCCATTGATTTCAATGGAATTAAGCCTGTCCAACCTAGATCCCCCAAGGCTATGGGATGCATTAAATCTTGGTGAATGTTTGCATTCATCAAGATCTTGGTATTGGAGGCCAGTAAAGCTCCTGTGCTTTTACTTGACTAGCGGGGAAGCATGGCTTCTTTGTGCGTATTTTCATAACACATTTGTTTAAGAATTTGAGAAGCAAAGTTACCTTTCAGCCAGCCAGTTTGTTACCGTGTCAGTTGTGCTGTACAGGTATTTTTAGGGTTGTCTGCAAAATCTGGCAGCTGAAGTGATTTTGTTGAAAATGCAAAAATACAAAACTTTTGAGAGGCTATTTTTAACCTAGACTGATTCAGGGACGTGTGTTGTAGCCTGGCTCCACAGTCATTTGTAGTAGCACATCTGAGGACAGGAAGCAAGCTGTAATGCAGACAGGAGTGAGTGGTAGGGGCCTTGAGGTAGAGACAAGGGGCAAGAACCTCTTCAGCAAATTTCCCCACTGAAGAGATCGTATCGCGAAGGTCTGTCTCCAGCTTCAGAGCATACTGAGACCTGCTGCCTACCCAGTGACAGCACCGCTCGCCTTGCGGGCTCCACCCTGTCTAGGAATGTCTCCACGCCAGCCTCAGTCTACACATAAACCAGTCTCACTTTATTTTTTCTGAGTTGACAATAAACAAGTGTCTTCTGATTCACTCATGTCTGAATTCAACGCCGGGGGAATGACCTGAATACCAACACTCCCTTTGAGTTCTTCTGGGTATCTAGACATAATGATAAGGCACCCATCTTTGACCTCCAGAACATACTCTTTGGCATTAGTCTTCCACATGATGCTTTTTGTTAACCTTATTTATTACGTACCATCTTCTCACTTGCTCATTCATGACCACAGACCAAAATGTGTATAAACATATTCCTCTCAATATTCCTCTGAAAAAGGGATACTCAAATAGCAAACAAAGCTGGAAAGTGCCTAATAGTAAAACAGGCTAAGAGGACGAAGTCTACTGAGATTTTCTCCCTGGGTGAATATGCAATTCTGAACAACATCATCCGTGTCCAGGTAAAGGAAAAAGGAGGAACTGGAGACATTACACTGCAGAGCAGGTCATCAAATTAATTGAGTTAAGTCAGTAAACAAAATTCTTATTCAAGTCAGCAGTTTTACATGAAAAGAGTCTTAATTGCTGATCTAGCTGATTAAAACCGACGCTAGGCTCAGAAAGAAATGTCTTTGTTGTCACATGGCTTATGGTATATTACAATGATGAGAGGGAGGACGTTTTTCAGGAGAGAGCTATTTTTAGAACTTGGACCATTTTTCCCTTAGAATGGAAAAACTGAAATGTCACAGGCAATTTCCTGCTCTTTAGGCCATTAAAATACTTCAGGACAAAGAGTTTTTGCTTAAAAAATGTAAGTCTGGCTGGCATAGGGTTTAACAGCAAAATGTTTTCTTAAAATAGGAAACCAATGTACATTAAATTAAAGGTTCCCAGAAGAGACATGTTCTCTGTGAAAATGTACTTTTCCAAAACTGAACTCGGATTCCTTTCATTCTTGCCAACATCTGCATTGTCAGATTCAGGATCCACTCATGAAAACACATTTTCAACAGACATATTTCTCTTTCCACTACTCAAATAACTTATTTCCCTTGATTGAGAGAGGTGAGATTGTTCAATAATTAGAGCAGTGGTTTGGAGTGTATTTGCTCTCGATTATTGTGTCAAAACCAAATGTATGCCAGTCAAGAAAACGTAAGTGAATCTCATCTCTGAATTATAAATCCAATAAATACTGGCTTATAATTGGGAATGGGGTACAATATGCACTGTTAAGATCCAGTTCACAGAATGTTACCTCACCCTGTTTCTCTTGGGATACACCTGGAAAAGACCAAGTGTGAAGTTGATTCCCAGGATGATATTTTGAAGAAGGATATACATTTTGACTGTCCAAGGTTATTTGCAGCAGCTGAATATGCAGACCCATTATGGTAAAAATTGGGAAAGGTAAAAAAATAGATCTTGCTTTCAATTAATATTGCCAAAATATTACCGGATACCTGAGATAAGCCAAGGAGAACAATGTGTAGCTGCCCACCCCACCTGCCCCACATGGCCTAAGGACAGACTTTGCAAGGAGGAGAGAAAGCATATGAGAAACTGAAAACTAGAGGCATTGCATCCACTAGGTATATAGGGGGTATGGGAATAAAACTGGCCGATATGGAGCTGTTTCATCTATCTCTAAAAGAACTATGTAATATCCAGCAGCTGGCCATGGCCAAAATAATGGACTAGATCTTGAGGTGAATTTTAAATCACATAAACCCGGATTTCTAGTGATTTGTCCATATGTGACTTTCAGAATAACTGGTTTCAGTGGACCTCACATCTCAGCTTTATATAATTACAAACGTGTAAAATCTGGTGCATACTTTTTCCATGTGACAGTTTCCCATTAGTAAAATACAGATAGTAGCAATTCACAGAAAGTTACAGGAATAAATACATTAAAGATTAGTATGATGGGAGCCACAGAAGACACTGAAATAGATCTGTTGCACCACTGGGTTTTGTTTGTACTCACTCCAAAGCCATACTCAAGGATGCAGAAGTCCCTTAGGTGTGTGATGATGCCTTATTAACAGAGCAGCGGCAGAAAAGGAATGGTGTCATGCAAGGCAAAGGGGGGAAAAACTGTGACAGCAAGGGAAAAGAAAGAAGAAAAGAGGATATGAAAAGGAAAAAGAGGCAGATCCTAGGATGATATAAAAATAAAAAATACTGTTAATTGACATGATAATAAATATTACATCAAAATTACAACAACAGGCTGAGGGGCTGATTGACAGGGGATAGGTCAAATGTGTGAAAAAAGGCAAGAAAGTAGGAACCCTGTTTCAAAGAGAAGCCAAAATGAACTGAAGAATAGCAGAAGAAAAACAGAGGTAAATGATACACAAGGCAATCCTGCAAAAGAGCAGGGAGGGCACCCATCATGCTCTCATCTAACCATGCCAGCTTCATCAGAGTACCCCTTTCAGCTGGTCAGCATCAGGAATGCTGGGCTGGATGAAGGGTGTCAGCTCCCATGCAGCGCTGAGCATGGCTTACCAATGACACTTCCACCATCTCCTCCAGCACTGCTCAGGTGGCAATGGGGAAACTTAAGCAGTTACTGTGAAGTCTCCAGGGACTTTTGCATAAAGGTCTGTCACAGAATCAGACTCAGTGAAGATGAGTCTGGAAACCTTGGTTGCTTAGAAGCTTCGTGTTGGCTGCTATGATTCTGGGAGCACTAGGGAAAACCTACAAGCTTTGCTTTAAGAAATATGTATAAGGGCTGTGCTGACTATCCACATACTGGCTTTTTCTAGCTGGGGGGATATTGGAATCGTTCACTGGCTCATGTTTGTCAGTCCCCATGAGCTGCAATTTCTATTCTGAAGCGTGCAGCCAGTGTCTCATTTCCCATTCTCCCCACGCCAGCCTGGGGTGCAGGAAGTCAGTGCTGCCACTCCTGCCCAGATTACAGCCCTTGTCCTGCCGCTTGTGAGTGGGACCCTTTCTCTTTAACATAAACATGCTATTGTGCTGAATGCCAAGGCTTCTTCTGATAATAGAAGCTTCAGATGCCTGTGAAAAATGTGAGGCAGGCCTACAGGACAAACATAGCAACCCAGTGACTTCATCTGCTCAAGGAGCTCTCTGGGTTCAGCTGGGACTCTTCAGTGACATTCATAATATGCTGTTTGAATTCAGTGGAACAGCAATAAACTATGAGACAAATGATTTTCATCTAAAGAATTATTTCTTATTAACTAACTCTGAAACACTGCTGTGTCTTGATCGGGTAGCTGAGTTCACTTTAGTGTTGCTGATTAGTGTTATTTCTAGAGTGACTTTCTGTATAGGTGGACTTTGTTTTATTTGTTTTTCGGAGGTATGTAAATTTAACACTCATTTAACTGAATTATTCATATTGTACTCAAACACTGTATCAATGGTGCCTTTACCAAAAGGCATTTGAAGGATGCTTTTCTTAAAAACTTAATTTTAGAACTGACCTGTACTAGTTCACACAGTGATCACGTTCTGCATTATGCAGGAGGACAGACATGATACTTGCCCTAGTTAAGTGTAGCTTTAAATATCATAACCTATGATAGGAATAAAATGGGATTATTGAAGTGACTGTATTTTAAATGTAAGGGTTTCAAACTAACTGGTGTAATACCCCTCTGGCAGGAAGGCACTCAGCACATGCCAGTTCATCCTATCTTTGGTGAGCCCAGGCCATGAAAGCATACCCTATGGACCTATCAATGTGATTAGCTGCAAGAGCATTAATAGCTTATCTTCTTGCTGCTACTTCTCAGAAATGTTTGTATCCGCCAGGACATCTCTCTATAAATAGCTTCATTTCCAGTGATAATCCAGGAATTTCAAGACTTACATTTTGCAGCTGTAATAGTAAACACTGCTTGGTGTGCTAGTAGTCCAGAATTCCCAAGTGGCATTCAAAGCTGATGCAGACAGTCGCCAAAGCTGGTGGAAGTCTTCAGTGCCTCCAGGGTCCTTGTAGCTGCCATGCTCCGTCTGGACTTCAGAAGCTGCTGTCAGGTGCTGCTCTTTCTTCCAAAAGGCTGGTCAACAATCCATTTGAAGAAATAATTACTCCTGGGGAGATTCCAACTGCAAACAAGAGGAAAACTTTTCACAATGAGAACAATCAGTCACTGGAAAAATATCTCCCCAGGGAAGCAGTGGACTCCCCAGCACTGGACACTTTCAAGACAGCTGGACAGCATGCTGGGACATCTTGTCTAGATCATGCTTTTGCCAAGAAGGTTGGACCCAATGATCCTTGAGATCCTTTCCAACCTTGAATGCTATGAGTCTATGATTGACATCACCCATGCTCTATGCCAGGAGGAGTTTTGACCACAAATTTCACAAGCTTTGACATGAACTTTTAAACAGCAGTCATATCAAGATTGTTGTTACCAGTCAGAAAAACATGTTTCTGAAAAAGCATTGCTTACTTCTCAGAGGCCTAGCAGTGCTTCAGACAATTTTTTGTTAGTGAAACTTTGTATCTGCAGCATTCTGGAGTATATATAACCAAACCCAACCTGAATGTGAAAAGATAATTCAGGCTTTTAGCCTGAAAAGTGAGTTTTACAGGAGTCTGATCATGGAAGCCAAAGGGAATTTACGAAAATACACTCAGCATCTTGTAGGGTTGCTTTTTAATTTTAGTCTAAAAAGGCTAAGCTGTGATATGCAGTGTAACTGCCTAAGGACATGCTGTCAGAATGTCTCGATTTAAACTGAATGAAAACTAGACAGTTTGAAGAAAACTATCAGAAGTCCATACAACCTAAATTACCCTATTACTCTGTTTGCAAATCATGGTTCTAGAACATCTATCAAGGAACTCCAATTCTTTTTAAATTGCCTAAATCAAAACCATCCTTATTGCAATGGATACTTCAATGCCTTAAGAGATCTATTTTTTTTTTTTTGGTCATGTTTTCTTGTGCAAATTGGAGATCAAGAGCGCATAAAAGCAGTGAAGGGCAAACCATGGGGGGCATAGGAGAACCAAACAGAAGAACTATAAAAAAAAGGATGGTGAAAAGAAAGTTGAGTGAGTCAGTGAGGACAAAACTCAGAG